TCGAATATATTTTTATATAGAGTAAATGTATGTATTTGTCATCGTTGGCCGAGTATGCGTAGCTATGAATCATGTACTTCTGAACTAAATATATCAAATTCCTTCCGAGCCCTATGACAGCATTCTCAGTGTGCCTACTTTTACTTTCAAGTGTGTTATATATTTTTAGGTAAAAATTGTTTTGTTGCAATGTCGTTTGTTATTTGCGATTTTAAGCAGAGCCGAGAATCACGTCAACACTTGAGCGGCTTTTCAGTTAATGTTCATGGCCGTCGGCAACACAATAACGGGGTAGGCGAGTCGTCACGCTGCAAAGTGCAACTACCATAAGTAGAGAATAGTAACTGAAGGATGGTGTAGACTTTGCGAACGCTACAAAACGCTGCCATGCCGAGAAACAAAACGTAGTAACGGCAACAACCGCCAAGGTTACTATGCACACAATGCCAACAGGCCAGGAGGCCAGGAGGCAGCTAAAGCGAGGAGGAGGTACTGAAAGCAGCTGACAATCGCCCATGTATATTCGGCACAAAGCCGGTTGTGGTACATTTACGCCACACACCGCTATGTTAACTCAAGCTGTCATATCATCCCACCACCTGTTCTCACCCCTCCCCCGCATCCTCCCGGAATTGGGTTGATATGGATTTCGCCTATGCTGCCACAGCCTTTCGTGATTGTTGCACGCTTGGTGCGTTGTAACGTTTTCGTCAGCGCTGGAACCGCAACCTTTTCAACATGCCACTTGCCACTTGATGCGGCGCAGTTGTGCGCTCGTTGCGGCTGCGGTTGGCGGCAGTCGTAGCGTTGGCGGCCGAAAAAAATCGCCTGCATTCCATTGTGAGTGATTTACAGTTAAGCACAATTTGCTGCGCAAGTGGGCGTAAGTGGTTTGTTTTCATGCGAAGGCAGCCAAGTTGACTTGCAAGACTTTGCGCCAACAGCTGGCAGCGGGCAGCTAGTCGGTCAAGGCCCTGCGAAAACCGTTTGACGGCGTCGCTTGTAACGAAAATGCTGCGTGCTGGTGCAACAACGAAAATGAAAAGCTAAATGAACAAAAAAGCAAAAACAAAAATAACAATGTTGAGGAAAAATGGTTGCCTCGAGTGCCTTTTTACTGCAGTTGGTTGCGGTTGCAACGCTATAAAAGTCGACATTTACACCAACGCTTGCGCATTGCACGTGGCTTATTGTGCGTTGCTCGGCAGTTGCAATTTCCGTTGTCATGCACGTCGCTGCAGCTGCAGCTAATTTGCAACCATGACAGCCGCCATTGTGTTGCTGTAGCATAAGTTTATTTATGTACACAATAGGGCGCGCTCGCACATATAAACACACACATACTACACACATATTTGTTCGTATTAAGCGCAGCAATGAGGAGTTTCTAGCCGCAAATTTTCCTTTCAACTGCAATTATGTGGAAGAACGTGAGCAATGCGCATAATATTGAACGAAAAGTCGGTGAAATTAAAAAGTTAAATTCTTACAATATGATATTGGAAGTCAGAAAATTTAAGCTTAGCTGGAGGCTTCCTTTGTCTTCACACGCTCATCGATGACCAAAATTGTCGTACAGGGATACAAAATATCCTCTGTGTTATTGAAATTTTGACTTGTGACCCCGGGTGTCAGATATTATTGGAGATGACTCCATATCGAGTTTATTGCTGAAGAAATTGTTCAGATCAGACTACTATAGCATATATCTGCCATATAACTGGCCGGATAAACTCAAGTACCTTTATGGAAAAATCAAAAAAAATGTAGATAACAAAAGAAATAACATATTTATATTCGTTTGAAATTGATATTATTGTTCTTACTTAGCCCCAAACTTATTTTTTATTTAGATGTTTTTACATAAGATGATTTCGAGTGTTTTTGTTCTCTTTCTTTTCAAAGTGTTTCCATATATTCTGTTATCTATATCTATACTAATCTTAAAAAGAGGAAAGATTTGATTGTTTGTTTATTTAGATTCAATAGGCTCTGAAACTACTTGACGGATTTGAAAAATTCATTCACCGTTGAGAAGCTACACTTTCTCGGATCCACATTTTCAAAAAAGTTAGGCTTGGTTTATTGGCGTTTTAGCCAATAATGTAACCTGAGGTGTCAAAATATGATCTTAGTAAGTAAGGAAGGGCTAATTTTGAATGAAACCGAACATACTCTTGTAACTTGCAAGGGACAAAGGTGGAGGAAGGTCTTCAGGTTTTGGCAAAACTTTATATCGAAATAAGGAAAGTATTACGGTGATTTCATCCTTTTAAGGAAAGAGGATACACTGTTATTAGAAACGGATTCTTTCTGAATTTTTGCAGTGTCTAATGGGAATGTCTGGATAAATTTGGGTGAAATCGGTTGGGCAGTTCCTGAGATATACGACCTGAAGGTGGGCGATGCCATGCCCTTATCCAATTTTCGTGCTACTTGTAGATCCCAAAGGCCTTTCTATACCATCCTGGTTGTGAAATTTAATGCTTGCAGCTCATTTATTCAGTGAGTTATAGTACTTTCAGTAGTTTTCAACATCACCGTTGTATGGGAAGTGGGCGTGGTTGTTATAAGGTTGATTTTATCTATTTTCACTGAGTTTGAAGTGGTGAGAGAATCACTTTTTCTCAGCAAGTTAGGTCGATATATCTTAAGCGGTTTGGAAGATAAACTATTTAGGGGGCCACATGTGTCCCTGGCTACTTCGATCTCCTGTACCAAATTACAGTTTTGGTTTTTAGCACTTTAAAGGTTTTAGTTTAATGGCGTTTTGTGAGCTTGGAAATACCTCCGCTTATTTACAATACCAACCTCATTTGAGTGCCAAGGAATATTTGTACCCAGTTTTATCAAGATATCTCAATTTTTACTCAAGTTATCTCTTGCACGGACCGACAGTTACCCGGATTGCAACTCTTCTCGTCAACGTTATCATATACTTGTATATATATTAGGTGATACAAACAACCGTTAGGTGATCAAAACTATGTTATTATACTCTGTAGTAAACAATTTCACATTCATTATTCGACGAAATCGTAAATGGCTTACAATCAAAATTGGTGTTTTATTAAGTTATATTATAGGTCACAGACGCATTTATTTTTATTTTTATATTTTACCTCGAGTCAGCTAAAATTATATCAAAAACATCTTCAACTGTGATGTATGTGGTATTAAGACAACCAAAGGGGCTAAATTTAATATAACGTGAAAAACTTCAACCACAGGATGGGAGTTCATTATATAAGGGATATGAAGTTTATACCAAGGTTTACACTAAGTCCTTATTATTTAGCGCTAAACCATTAATATAATTTTATAATTAAAAAAAAAACTTGTCACACTTAATTTCATTAAAGTTTCACACATTTTGACCACCCTAAACGGTTGTATTCAGTATAAGATTTGAAATTGAATAACAAAAATCATTTTATGTACAAATAGGGACAGGGTAGTATTGACACGAATTGATCTATTTTTGACATTAAAATATATTGCTAACGGGAAAAATGCTCTCTGAGTTACATTCTGATACCACACATACCATCGCCAATATACATATAAGGAGTATAGTCAACCGGATGTTTAAAAATCCTGATATTTGTTATATGGACGGACCGACGGACAGACAGACATCCAGATTTCAATTTGCCTCGTCATTATGATTATTTGTATATACCGTATATAAACCTATAACTATAACCCATTAGGTTTAGGTGATATAAAAAACCTTTTAGTGAACAAAACTATTATACCTGTAGCAACATGTTGCAAGAGTATATCCTTCGATCAGAGCTTTAGTTTTTATAAGTTTTAAAAAAGCTGTATAAATTTATGATTTTTGAGCTAAAGTGGTCATTAGTACAAAACAGCGCTAAGTTCGAGCGTAACCGAACATTTTATACTTTTGCAACTTGCAGGGATGAAAGCCGGTATAATACCTTCAGTTGTTAGCAAAAATGTTGCGAAGGAATTAAACATCCATTATTCGATGAAATCGTGAATAAATATCAAACAAATTTGGTATCTTCTTGACTTTTATGAAGGCCATTAATTTTTTTACTTTATTTCATTGTTATATTTTAGTTCATGTTAGCCAAAATTAGACTAAAAACACCTTCAAACGAGATATATATATATGTGATATTAACTCGAGCGAAGAGTCTAAATTTAATATATTGAGTTGATGTGGAAGACGTCAACCAGAGGATTGAAATTGTATATATTAAGGATATGAGGTTTAGACCAAGAATAACGAAAATCATTACCCGTTGTAAAAGGGTATGGAGGGTAGTAGCGACCCGATTTTATATATTTTAGCCAACACCACTTACTACTAACATGCCACAGACTAATAAAATGCTCCCAGGGTACTTTACATACCATTGCTAATCATATGGAATAAAGACATTCAAAAATCCTGATACTAGTTTTATTAGTTTTCGATGAATTTTAGATACAAAGATACACAGTTATGATTAAAACACGCTGTCTAATTTTCATTGAGATTACACATATATATGTGGTATAAACTCAACCCGAAGTTTAAAAATTTTTATATGGGGGCTAAGTGAAGTATTTATCCAATTCAACCCATTTTTGACATACAGACATACCATTAGAATCCTTTCTGAATTTCAATTATATATCCCACACATTGACCGATATTTTCTGAAAAAAGTCAACTATTGGCACTGGGGTCCACATATTCGGTACCTAGTGGCTTGAACAGTTTTGGTTTGAACAATTCTTAGTCGTAAAGTGTTATATTTTACAGGCATTATTCGTGCAAAGATTTATCTCAATACATTCATTTTTGCTTGATTTGCATACTAGGAAGTAAAAGAAACAAATGGAAATTAAAATTGTGTTTTTTGGGAAGTAAGGGTTGTTTTTAGTCCGATTAAAAACATTTGTTCAAAGTGAGTTTTCTTAGTATAGCTTTAGCGTCTAAAACGTATCAAATAACATTCATGAAATAAAACTCAGCATTTTATTTTAACTAATTTATTTGTTTCCTTTTTTCAAAATCTCAATTCTCAATTTATCTTATGTATATATCCCTAATGTAATAACTAACTTTGATTATGCACTACTTAGTTCAATACTTTACAAACTAATTTTAAGTTAAACTTGTATTGCACACAACTAACAATATTTTTTACATTTTCATGCACAATCGAACACTCGCTCGCATAATTAACGGTCAACTGTTATCGTAAGATTCTACCGCACATCAACTACCAATGCAACGAGTGCGACCCATTTACACAAAACCTTTAACAAATCACCTTGCGGCTTAGTATCGGAAAGGAATACGAGATCGTACATGCGTTTTAGAGATAATAGTTAAAAATATTTTAGTTTCTTGAGTTATGACTTGTCTAGTATACATACTTGCTAGTCTAACTGTTACTTTGCTATAGTTTAATGTAATTGCTGTATTTGTATAAGTTATTTAAGTACTAGAGCTTTCCATTGCAGAGTAACTTATGCTTATAAATATTTAGACTTTAAGTAAGAAATACTTGTATCGTTTGTGTGTTTTATGTGTGTATATATATACAGTTAAATCTATGTAGTTGACATACCTAAGTATTTATATGCGAGTTGAGTTTTGATGTTTCACTGACCTTGAATAATAAATATACATATGTATGGTATACAATATCTTGTGTAACTGAGCACACCAGTTGTAATTTCTTAAAAAAAATATTACATTTTTAATACGCATTTTTGCTTGTATGTATGTATGTATGTATAGGTGTGACTATGGATCCAAATTGAGTCGGTAATTTTAACAAAACTAACCACATTTCGGTATCGCTCGATTAAATAACAGCTACTATGTGGGCTTACTAGCACCCCACGGCCACGCCTACACGCCCAGTTGGCTGCTTCTGTTTGCTACAGTCTCAGTCTCATTAGCTCTTAAATATATCCGCTTGCGACTCGTTTAGACGCTTCAGCATCGCGTTGCGGTGCAGCCAATAAGGTGGTGGATCGGGTGGCTGTCCCGGCAGCAGAGTTTTACTCTTAAGTGTCGTAGTTTTCGGATTCGTGGCGGGTGAATTGTTCGCCGCAAGTGCCGCATTATACATCACCGGATCGGCCAGTTGGGCCGAATGTCCAACGGCACCGCGCATCGGCACCTCTTTCTTGCGTATCGTTTCGCAGGTTTCCTTCATCTTGCACAACTGATCTTGAAGATTGCGATACTCTTCGAGAAAGCGTTCTAGCTGCGCAGCATGGTAGTCGTAAGCGGCAACCGTTGACGTATTCGTTGTCGGCTGTAATGCTGCAGAGACAGCTGCTAGGTTAACGGCTGGGGTTGTACCTACGCCCGTGCGTGCGGTAAGCGTGGAGAAGTCCAGTAGGGGCGTCGCCGCTGAGCTGAAAGAACGCTGATGCTGATGCGCATCGTGAATTGGGGAGGAAGGCAAACTGGGATTGCGTCGCACGCCATTAACTCCCATAGCCGCCGTACCCAAACCAGCGCTGCCGCTTAAGTTGAGATTTCCTTTATTGCTGCTTTGCACCAAGTTGAGGAAACTATTCGAACGTTGCCCGCTGGTGTATGTGGATGTGCCAACGTAATTCGAGTATGTCGATTCGGCGGAGAAGCGTCGGCCCATCGTCAACTCGTTTAGGAAGCTAGCATCCCCCAATGTGCTACTGCCATATTTACTTGAGTTGTCCGCTAGCAGCGGTGATTGACTATCCGATGAGCTTTTAAAGTATTTGCCGGTGTTTTTCAATTTTCGAGGCAGCGTACAAAGCGCCTTATTTGTCAAACTACCCGCCCCTGCATTTACACCATAATGCGAGTTATTGTTGTTGGAATTAGTTGCCTGCGCCACTGCGTATTTAGCGATGTCCAGCAAATCGGGGTAGTTGCTGTCGAAGAGATCATTCTCGACACTGTCTCCACTACAGAATACCGATGTGCTGATATCATCGTTGTTGTAGTAAGCATTGTTGTTGGGACCAACTGTTTGTCCGCCCGTTCGTTTGCTATGCGGTGAGGTTATCTTCGTTGTGGCAATGGGTGTGGTTGTCCAGGTGGGAATGGGATTGTAACCACCCAAGCGTGCTGCGGCGTCCACTTGACTCGAGATCGAACTGGAGGCAGAGTCCGAACTAGAATAAGAGAGAACGGTGTTGTGCTAATTAATATTTTTTATACATACGGAATGTTTATAGTTCAATTAAAATTTAACTTTTTATTATTTTTATTAAACATTGCTTTAAAATATGTGTAATTTAGTCTTATTACAGTATTCTCCATCGAAATGATGAACACGCCCCCATTTTGGAAAAAAAGGGTTGAAGATTAAGGGGCTTTTAAAAAGCACAGATAAAACTTTTAAAAAACGATGAAGTGGTTCTAATCTCTCAGTTTCCAGTCAATCAGTTTTATGTCTGTTGCTCTAACTTTGATGGTTTTCGAAAAGATCAATTTGTCAAGTTTTTGATACTACGGGTGATACGTAGAAGATTAGTGGACGATCGCCAGGTTTTCAACTTTTTATAAAGAGTGTTTTTTTTATTTTTTTTTATTAGACATGCCGTTTGTAAAAGGAAATAAAACGCATATAATTTAAGGTTAAGGCTAAAAACTTAATTTTATAAAAAAGGTTTGCCATTACGTTTTAAAATGATTTCGGGCAAGGGACAGTTGCAGTTGGCTCAAATAAATACTAGTCGGAAGGTCCAATTGTCGACCACCTTTTGCAGCAATTGGGGCCGTATGTCAGCAATAACGCGCCCTTATTCAAGGCGTCAATCGTCTTGCTCTTTGACAAGCGGCTTCACATAACCCTTTAAAAAATAATCCGGTGGTATTAAATCGAACACCACGCACAGGCCCACAACGCGAGATAATACGCTCACCAAAAGTTTTCTTCAACATTCAATTGATTTTTTCTTTGGCTGACTGTATATCGTTGATGATTCTTTTTGCCCATAGCGCACACCAAACAGTGACTTTTTGAGGATGTAACGGCGTCTCAACAATGCCTTGTTGATTATTATCACTCAAACTGCAGCAATTGCGACTTCGGTGCCCACTGTACGGGGCCTCTGAGGATGCGCATTATCTACTAGAGTCCACGTGGTGCGAAACCGATTCGAACCGAACCATTACTTTTTCAAACTTTGTTCCAGAGTAAGTGTGTTCATTATAAAATCAAGTAAAAGGTAATTTTGAGTTATTTCGTTGTTTTTCATCAACTTAAATATTTAAGAAAAGTTTTATATCTTTACAGAAAATTTCACAGAATAGGAAAATGTCTCTGTTGGAATCGGCGAAGTTCAATAAAGAGAAATTATTAATGAATTTGTAAGTTCTTCTGAAGTTTTCGCTTTGAATTCGCGGACACGATTTTCAATGTCATTTATTGATGGATTGGTGAACTGTTCTAATAATATTTACCATAAATTTGGCTGAAATCCCTTGACACGGATAATCGTTGAAATCGGGAAGCGTCATCATTGACCTTGTCAATAGGTAGTTCCCCAGCCATTATTTCGAAATCGGTGAACATTTGTGAAAAGTGTCATAGTTATATGACATATATGTATATATTTGCCATTATCTGACGAGGTTTATTAGATTTCTATATACCACAATAAAACAAATATACAGTTATTATTCTTAATGTGCGCGCATGCAACAAAAGTTTTTTTATGACAAAACTTTTCGGAAAACCCAAATCTTTGCTCGTACAATTTTAGGAAGCAAGATAATCTCTAAAATTCAGAATGTGCTAAACGAATACCGACTAATGAACTTTTACTACAATTTACTGCAATTTCCCTCCTCCATTTGCATGTGCAACAAGGCCACAGAATATCTTGCATGCAACTTGAAACTTTCTTAAATTGCATCTTCAAATTAATGAATGATATGAAATATGCACGTTCAAAAGTTAGGCGGACATTGTCGCCGAGAGGTGCGTCTGTGCGGCAGGCCACTCACCGTGTTGAATTCGTTACACTGAAACGGCTGCTCCGAGTGGCAAGACAACAACAGTGGCAACCAAAGTGGGCGAGAACAATAACAAAAGCAGAAGAATCAGCAGAAATATTGCAAGGAACTGTTATATTGCAAAAGTTGAAAAAACACACACACACTCATACACATACCACATATTGTAGATGTCTACAATTTAGTATATATATATATAATGTGCATAATGCCAAATAGCCAACAGAAGAGCGAATCAACAAAAGAGCACGAAAGAGTTGCAACAGAATTAGTGAAAACAAAACACTAGTGAAAAGTTGGAGATGCCAAAGATAAACACGAGATGGGCGCACCAGCTGGGAAAGGCACCCGACATTTGAAGTAGTGCAACGAGAAGGGGAAAAGCATGGATTTCTTTAGAGTTCAGTTGTGGCAAGAGGTGGGCAAGTAGCTAACCAATTTGGCAAACTGCCTGCAGCCAACTGCGGTACCAACCAACCCATGCAACAGTTAACAATGACAACACAAGCAAAAGGCTGGATATCTTATGTTTGTGAGAACTTTTGTACTGCCAAGAAGCTACAAAGGACTTTGCAGCCACTCAAAAGTATACCAAATACAACAATGTAGGTGTAAAAGTGGGGTAGGGATTATAGTTTTGCGAGCGGCAACTCTTTCATTGCGAAAAAAGTGTTACTCTTACCGTATGAGCCGAGCATGTTTTGCACATCATTAGCACGTGTTATTTTCGTGCGTTTATCACTTGCGCATCTCGAGTGCCAAGTGTCAAGTATATAGCCTAATTTGTGCCATAATACTATAGTGGATATAGGCACGCAGATGTGTGCGAAAATTGTCAAAGGTAAGTAAAAATCAACAAAAGGGGCGGCAGGAAACATCCAATTGAAGTCAATGGATTTGAGGTGGTCAAGGAAGGATATAATAATGCTACTGTAATTGAAACCCTTGTCAGGAAGTGGAACATATAAAAGAAAAAGTTCGGATTGACAACAAAATTAAGCCTCCAGAAGCAGGTATTGGGTGGGTTAGTTGGAAATGCTAATATTGGTCGAGTTCTAAATACTGGTGAAAATATGGTTAAAAACGATATATTTGAATTTGTGACTGCCCCGATTAGCCAGTAAGATTAATAAATTGATTGTTTAGAAAGGAAAGAAATTTGTTGCAAATAAAGCGCTACAGTTCGTTTAAATATAAAATTATGCTTTATGACAAATGTAAGTTTAAATGAATTTTTAAATCCAAATATGTACTTACCCGCCTAATTCGATTAGCCTTGGTATGTGTAAATCCGATTTTTGTGGCCCCACATCACCGTCACATTCCCCACTGCCGCTCCCCGCGTTTGCATTTCTTTTGATATCTAGCGGACTTTCGCGCATCCCTGTAGCACCACCACCAATACTCGCACGCCAACGTACCGCTGCTGATGTCTGATTTGCGTGTTTGCCTCCTGCATAGTTGGTTTTTGCCGCCGACTGGTAGTTGGCATCCAAACAATCCTCATCATCGTCGCAGTGTGTTGGTATATTGCGGTAGTCACCATTGCGTTTGGCGCTCCCACCACTTGGGTTCACAATAGCCACACCAGTATCACCGCCGTCATCTGAGCCACAATTAAGAGGAGTGGTGGCCGTGTGCAGGTAATCGCTGTTGTCGTTAGGATATAAACCACCGCCACCGCCATTAGTATTGCAAAAGTTGCTAGAGACATCCACACTACCGACCGTGGAACCGCCACCCAAGTCGGGCTTTCGATTCCCCATTCCAGCACCGCCGCCATTGCCCCCATTCGGCCCATTCCCGCTGGTCGAGCAGACACGTGATGTCATCTCAATTTTTTCATAACTTTCTGTGCGCGCTGGTGGTACTGAGTTCCACAACCGCATTTTGCGTTTACGACGTAGCGAACAAAAGCAAATTGCGGCAAAAGAGGAGCCAACCACAAAGAGCAAAGCTGTAAAAATGCATAGGAGCACAATTTTTGCACCCAATGGCGCCTCGGGTGGTCGTCGCGAAACAGCCAGTGTAACGGATGCCTCCACTTTGCCGGCTTTGTTCTCAGCTGCGCAGGTATAAATGCCCGCATCCTGCATGTCGGCGGTAAGTATGGTCAGATTGGAGGCGTTGCGTAACATGTTTACCACGTACGTCTTGCGTCCTTGCGTTGCCGCCGCAGTGCGTGGACTTGCCGTTGGGTCACCCGTTGCTGTTAAGTTGGCAATCACTCGATTTTTCACCATCCATCGCACCGATGGTTCCGGCACGCCCTCCACATAACAGCTCATCGTCACATTGCGTCCCTCTACACCATGTGCTGTTGTGTCGGTGGCAATTATCTGTGGCACGCAAGCAAAGTCATCCAGGTCGATTTTGTCCCACGTTTTGCCAGCCAGACGAGGTGGTGCGCGACACAGCGGTGGTATGCCATATGGTATATTCTCGCGCAGCATCCATGCACGTAACGGTCGCAACGCGCAGGAACAATTCCACTGATTGCGTGCCAACTCAATGCCGTGCAAATTCGTGAGCGATGTTATGGTGCCCGACCGCACCTCACTCAATTTGTTGCCATCCAATTTGAGCCATTCAAGAGTCGACTCAAGACCGGCAAAGGCACGCACTTCGACTGTCGTCAACTTACAGTCGGACATTTCCAAGCGCACCAGCTGCGGCACAAAGCCAAAAGCATCATCTTGTACACGCAAAATCGGATTGCCGTTGAGTTTGATTTCACGTAGCTCGGTTATGAATTCGAATGTGTCGGTAGGTATGCTGCTCAGCATATTATAGCTCAGATCTAGTTCGACCAGATTGATGAGCTTGCGAAAGGCAAAACGTTCGATCACTCGCAATCGGCATTTGGCCAGATAGACCTTTTGTAGATTGAGCAAATTAACTGCCGCAAAGGTGTCGTGCGGTATGCTGGCGATATCATTGCCAGTTAAGTCGAGAACCTGTGTACCGGCATCCAATGGCACCGGGATATGTGTGAGATTCGCATTAAGGCACAAAACTGACTCTTTGCCGCTTTTCCACTTGCATTCGCACATGCTGGGACAATCGGCCAATGTGGGATGGGCTAGACTCAGACAGCAAAACAGCCAAAGTAGTTGCGCAAGCGGGATAGAGAGTAGATTATGTAAAGACAGTTGCAAAGCGGGTACCAAAAGATGAAAGTTCTTCGAAAGCGTCGTTGGCGGATGCCGTGATTTTCGGCGGACCTTGGTAGCCAACGTTATCTGGCATGCGGTGCTACTTTCAACGCAAAGGCTACAATTTCTTTGCACGCACCTATGCAGACGAACAGCCGACGTACGACTGTTGCCGATGTTGTAGTTGTGCGCCCGTGGGCTTTGTTGTGTGGTTTGTCTGTGGCGGGCCATGGCATTTCCGTTCGGAGTATTGTAAGCACTTTGCGTTGAAACTATGCCACATTGAGGTGACTGCACCTTGACGAAAGAAGGACCAGCTGCATATAAGAGAAATGTGGGACTCGTATCGTAGGAGTTCTTCAAATGCCAGTTGACAAGTGTGAAAACCGCGTGCGTTGTATTGAATTTTGTGCGCAGCGGTCTTATGTAGAATTCCTGATTTTTGTACTGCCATGCCAGCCGGCCGGAATGTTGTGTCCAATATAAGCGGGAACACCTTTCAATAGCGCGACCCAAATTAGCATTTCCTCAAATGGTTGTGGTGATAAATACTGATGGGTCTGTAAAGAAAACGGAAGCAAAAAGAAGCGGTCACTTTACTGGGTTAAAATATGAAATAAATATGAGTCGGCTATAGGTCCACATAGATATATAATGTTTATGGGCTAAAAGTGAAAAGCACTCGTTTTTACTGGAAATGTATTTTACTGCATATTTATCCTAGTTTTATAAGCAAGCTGTGTAGAAAAAGTGTGGCAAGACGCTCTTGGCCTCTAGCCTACTTCTTCTAGTCATGCAACTTCACCTGCTTGCTACACTGCGCGAATGCCGCAAGGACCCACAACATAATCTAAACAGTGCAGCTGCAATAAACTGTAAATATTTGACATTTTAATAATGTGCTTAAGTGGTAAAGCTAAAGTATGTACTTGCCATTAACTGACAGCGGTGGCGGTGCTGGTGTTAGCGGCGAACAAAAAGTGCAACAGCCATTAGTTTTTTCACCACGAAAGCCCCCACCCTACTACCATGGCACTTGTAAGTGTTTACGTAAGCTCCCTTGTTGCCTTAGTGTTGTGTTGTGCTGAAGCCATAACTGTCACTTGGAGTTAGCGCGATTTCTTGCCTTCTTACCGCCATCGGCTTGACACTTTGCAACAGCTTGGCACTTTTTGCCACCACACTTTGCTAAAGCCCTGCGGTGGTATTGCAATAGACAGCTCTGCCCTATAAATATGTGTAAGTATATAAAGTAAGTAAGGCTGTAAGTTTCTAGCGGATAGTACTCCACTTGCTAACGGTTTGAGTTTTAGTGTTGCATGCCACAGTTGACAATGGATTTGTACACGAAGTGCTTGCTCATGCTTATATACTTGATATACATTACCCAGTAAACATTTTATTTTCACAGATAAAAACACGAACAATTGGACAATAGAATAAAAATTATATTGGATTGCCAAGGTCCTTCATACAGTTCAATCTAGTATCGGGTTCTGTTTGTATACCGTATCTGCATACAATTTAAAGTTAAAGTCAAATAAAAAATTCTATTACTGAACGAAGCTTCACCTAAGTGATATTTAGACCTTGTCAGAGGCAAACCGAAATAGTCTGCAATCCAAACATTTAAACTCGAAGCTCAAAGCTTTGCTTTTACTATCTTGACCTTAAATAAACCAGTATATCTTTGATTTTAAGGGAATCATTTGAAGGATTGTGTCAAAGTATTCTCTTATAATGTATTTGGTCCACCTAACAGCCACAAACACGCCTAAAGTCATTCAAAATTGATATATGTATGTAGAGTTATAAATGTTTATCAAACCTTTCGGCATGACGAAACAAATTCAATTCCGGATGTCCATCCATCTACATCATCAGATAAATTATTGATTAAAATATTCCCCTTCATCTAAAAATGCCTTTTCAACTTATTAGGACTTCAGCGCGTACGGATATCGGGTGATAATACTAAGATAACTTAATGAAATGAAAAGGACATATTTTCCTAATACTACTTTGACGTGGTGCTACAACCAGATGGAAACGGATCAGTAATTCTGCTAGCCCTCATGTGCCTAGTATGATGATTTTTGAACCTGTGCTTGACTTTATACCGAAGGCATGTATAACATATGTTTTGATGTGTGTAAACCTGCGAAACCAAAGCGCAATTATTACTTACGAGCCTTACATAAATATGCTACTCCACTAAAACCAATATTAGCTATAGCTACAGGATATAAATTGCAAAATTTCTAACAAAAGCCGGCGGGGTACTGACAGCTTGCAACAACATGCAATTGCCGCAAGCGAGGGCTATGCCCAAGCTAAGAGTGCTTCGCCATAACACCAACTGGTTTACACTTATTTAATAACAGTGTTGTCGAATAGTTGGCTAATGTGTGTGTATAATTGCATGTGTTTGTTCGCATGCGCACAGTTGATCATTGTGGGTAAATGCTCCATGGCATGCCACTGGGCGTCTACGCAACATATCAGAACATTTCCGCGATAATTCATATTTTGCATCGAAAATTTCTTCATTTTGGTTTGAACATTTGACTTCTAGCGTTAATCAAGGTAAGCCAAACGCCATCTATCGCTTAAATGGCCTGACCATTTCAATACAGTTTGCTTCAGGAGTTAATGCTCGTTCAAACCGGAAAGGCCGTTTTTATCCACTTGGCTTATTAGCCAAAATTTCTCAGTACTTGACAAAAGTCAAAAACATAAATAGTCATTGCCTTAATTATTCCCGAAATGCTTAAGAGGCGTGGAGAGTAAAGTACTTATTACCAGTGAGCGAGCACAAGGTAATTACAGCCTTGAAAAATACCATTAATTACCGGGATTAAATTGTACAAATGACTTGGCATTCGTGTAAAGAATGGAAAATGGTTTTCTAAAATTATTAAGATGGAACTAATATAATAATGGAATACCAATTATTTTATTTTACATATTACTATCACAATAAGTGTTGTCGTATTGATCGAAAAAAGTCCGGGGAATAAGTGTGTTCAATAAAATTATATAATTTCCTCAAAGGAAACTATAATTCATCATCTAATATTTGACGTTGAGTCAATAAAAAACTATCTTTATTAGTTAAAAAGTATAGCTTTTGACTTGTACTAATATAAATGGACTTAGGACTCATTCTATATTTGATTAAACCCTTGAGCTATAATTATGTGATTAAGAATATTTTTGAAAATAAATGAACTCCAAAAAAAGATATTTAAACCGTGCACGTCTTTTGAACTATTTTTCAAAGTTCTTCGTTTATTTTAGGAAGAAATAATACACTGTTTATCTAAAAACATCATACAAAGAATATATGTATACCATTCATAACCATTTCAAATCATACAAAACTGGCACAATAATTTTTTAAAGATCGACGCTCACTCAAACTCCGTTCACACAAGGTCTCTTTTGTCGCTCATTATCGGCAAATTCTCTTTTGGTACAGCTCATTGCATTCACACAAGCGACATGTGTCTGACAACTTGAGTCGGACAATTTCCTGCATTTTCTTTAATAGCACATTTTCTAATTGGCATACGCTTCATGTTTGCGGTGCGCAAAACTATTTAAGATTAGCTAATTTTTATCTCTATTTACTTTTTTCACAAACGTTTGTATTGTACAACGCGTATTTGCATATTACATACAAAAACCAGAAAAAGCGATAACTTCGGTTGCACCAAAGCTATAATACCCTTCACAAATATAAAAGTTCCTTACAAGAACTTGACTTCGATCTAATTTCGTGAAGACACCTCGTCAAATAAAAAAGTTTATATGGCAGCTATATGCTATAGTTATCCGATCTATACAATTCCTGCGAAGATTGCATTATTGCCTTAAATAATAATCCATGCCAAATTCGTGAAAATACCTCGTGATATAAAAGAGTTTTCCATCCAAGCACTTGATTCCGATTGTTCAGTTTGTATTTGTATATTTGAGGAATCACGAATTGCAAATGAAATTGAGTAATTCAAGTTCATGTACTAAGTTTGTATTCGTGTTTTAGATTCCACTAAAAGTAATCGCTAAGTTTCATAATGGGGACAAACTACTCTAGGAATTGGATAATTAGAAAACAGACGTCTAATTCTAGAATAATTTTTTAGCTGCATATTCTATTTGTTAGAAAAAGTTTTAACATTAACGGTCTATCTTATACTCTCGAAATTTTAATTGATCATCGGCTTTTGACCCTTATATTAAACAAGTAAGGAAGATTTGGCAAATTCATTTTTGGCAATACGACATATGATTATTATATAAAGATGATCCCTATAGTTAATAAAAATACCTTACATATTGGTCAGTATACAAGGTATAAAAGCCATAGTATTAGAAATATGGGGGCTAGAGGTAGTATTAACCTGACGTTATGAGTTTTAAGCACATGAATATACATTTATCAGAAAGAGCTGCTCTCTGAATACCATAAAGATAACTCACATATTGACCAATAGAAAAACACTAAAACACATTTTGCCAAAAAATGTACCCATCTGATTTTATCCTGACGGAATAAGATCGAAAATTTATAGTAAAAATTAATAAGAAAGTTATGACAATACCAAACAACTCAAACAAATTCGGTTGAGCTTTGGCAGCTATATGTATAGTGGGAGTGGCAAAGGTTTTCAAACAAAATTTTACACTTATTATTTTTATTGGTATACCATATTATACAATACATTACAAGAGACTACTAACTATTAAAATATTTACTTTTCCTATTTCTTTTATTACTTCTAAGTGCTCAAAATAAGCTCTATCTTTACAGTATATGTGAGTAATAACATTGTGTTTCGTAGAATTTGTTGTATTTTTTATCTGATTTAGTAGTAATTAGAACATTTTCCAAATAGAGAAGCGCTGGCAAGTAAAATAGAGCGCTTAGATTTCAACAGATTATTGTTGGAGACTTAAAAAGACTTTCCAGAAGCCTAACATTCACGAAAATCGTAAGTATTTTTTCTACCATTTATTAAGCAATAATTTCTCTAAATTTGTCTAATGTTTGTACTTTTTAAGTTATATGTTTTTTGAGACATCAAGAAAACTTGACACAAATAATTATTCTCATATTATTGTTTGTGTCCCTAGTACATTTAAAATTTGATATGCGATTTAATGTTACAAAAAATTAAAATTTTGTTAACCAGTTTAATTTATCTCAGCTATGTTTTGGCACACCTATTCACCGATAGTCAAGATAACTACTATTGCAGTGGGCAGAATTGTTCCAATTAAGTGGACATTTTATAAGTTCACGTGACTATAAATTTGATTCGAATATTACATTGTGGTCAAATTTTCACTTTTGATAAGCCAATCGATCATTCTAAATGAAAGTTTGCAGATATATGCATACTGGAAGACCTTTTCATAAACAGGGTTTCCTAAAATTGAAAAACTCATTAAAATTCAGGCCCAAATGAAATTACGTATCTTCAGTTATCCATATACAAAAATCAGAACTTACACTTTTTAGTAATGTTTGATTTGCCCATTCTTTATCAAAACT